ATATCCATAATACTAAACTCTACTGCTTGGCCCATTGACACACATATTTTATTTGACTGGCTGAAGCACAGGCTGGTTCCAGAACCACAGATAAATACAATTAAGATCTCTAAATTAGGGTTTGGCCTATAGCCCAAGGATCTCTGTGTTGTTCTTTGTGTGGTTTTTAAGAAGCCTGCTTCAGGGGTCGCTGAGGTGAACAGGGTAGTAAGAGAAGTATAGAGTTGAGCCTTAGAAGTCTGAATTCAAAATACAAATCCAGGGATCTTGGACAAACCTCACTGAATACAAGGTCCTGGGTGCCATCCCCAGCGCCACATAAATGATTTGTGTTAGTGCACAACTATAATCCCAGAAAGCAGGAGGCGAAGGCATACTAATATCAAGTTCAAGGCCAGCCTGTGATATATGAGACCTGTTTCATAAAGGGGAGGAGGTCTTCGAATTAAACAAACAAACAAACAAAAAGTAAGTTTGTATTTTTTGTTTTATTTTACCTTTATACATATGAATGTTTTGCCTGCATGTATGTCTGTGCACCATGTGTGTGCAATGCCTGGGGAGGCCAGAAAGCACATTGGATCCCTAGACTGGAGTTGCAGATAATTGTAAGCTGCTATGTGGCTGCTAACACGAGCTGTACCACTGAGCTGCACCTGAGTGCTCTGGAAGAGCAGCCAGTGATCTTAATCGCTGAGCCAGCTTGCTGTTCTGTAAGTATGACAGAGGCAAGCCAATAGGGGGTCAGAGAATAGGTTTCCATGAAGGGAAGAGATCAATTCCCCTGAGACCTTCTGGTAACTTGCTTGGCTCACTCCTCAGAATGGTCCCTGAGAACCCTTCACTCATGGCCATGGGTTAGGGTCACTTCTGGGATAAGGTCTTCAGGGACCAGAACTCACGCTCAGGCAAGCAGAAACAGGACGCAGTCGGTACCAGAGAACAACAGGTGAGTGACCTCAGAATGAGCCAGCTGTGAGTGGTGGAACCCCAACTGACAGCCACAATCACCTCCCGCTCCACACACACTCCCTTCTCAGAGCCACTTGCCAAGCGGCCCCGTTGGTTGCTGTGGGTCTAGCTTTAAAGAGTAAGATTTCCTCTTTGAACTCTAAATGCCAGATTAGCAGTAGCTTCCGAATTTCTGTATAACCAAGCTGGGCTGTAGTTCAGTGGTATAGTACATGCTTAGCATGCACAAGGCCCTGGGTTCAAACCCAGGACCAAACACAAAAGCTCTAGACATCAACAACCCCCATAAGGTCCCTGTGGTCATGATGGCCCCACTCATGTCTGCGCAAACTTCCAATGGGCATGGTTATAAAAGTGCATGTGTGTAGAGAGAAGCCTTTTCCTTGCCAGCCGCTTTGGTTTTTTCCCCACCAGTCGCCTGGGCTCTGCGGCGTTGTAGTCCCCAAGTAACACACAAGACGCTGTATTAATTATGAAGCTGTTGGCCTTGCTTGTTTCTTACTGGCTAGCTCTGACTTAAGTATTTATCCCATAATTGTTAATCTAAGTATTTCTCTTGCCAGAGAAAAGTTCCGGACATCTTACTTCTCTGGCGGGCTACATCGTGACTCCCTGTGTTTCTCCTACCCAGAGTCCTCCTGGACTCCAAGTCCCACCTATCTTGCTTCCCTATTGGCCAACAGTGCTTTATTGACATATACACAGGACTTCCCCAACACACGTGTGTGTGTTTGTATGTGTGTGTGTTTGTGTGTGGGTAAGAGAGAGAGAGAGAGAGAGAGAGAGAGAGAGAGAGAGAGAGAGAGAGAGAGAGAGAGAGAGAGAGAGAGAGAGCAAGGCAAAAGGCAGTCAATCCTCCAAAGCAGTCCTGAAGCTTTCAAATCTTCTATGCCTATGAGGCATAAAAACTCCCGTCTAACTCTCGTGCTCAGGTTTGGAGGCTTTCAGAATGTTGTTGCTTTTAGAGTAAAGCAGCCCAGCTCTGTGACACTTTTTCTTTGTCCTGTGTACACATGTAACAAGACACTAAAATAGAAATTCCGTTAAGGTGAAAAGACACCAGAAATCACACTCCAAGATGAGACGCCAAAACATCCTGTAGGATTTAGAGAGGACAAGTTTTATGACTCTTGAACTACTTGTTCGTGGTGATGAAATGGCTCAGAGTTTGAAGATAAATGCAGATTTGAGGACAGAGTTTCTGGTGTTCTGTGGGAGAGCCTGGACACTGGGGCTGCCATAGACAGCTTACTAAAAGGGCTTCAACTCATCCATTGTGGAACTTCACTATGCATTCCTTATGAAGTTTAGGAAACACACAAAGCTGGCTCCCATCTAGAACATTTAAAGGAAAAGTAATAGGCTGACCATGGCTCTGAATGTGGAATAAAAAAGAGGTCAAGGGGATGTGTAAATGGAATTCTTAATTGATCTAAATAATAAAAACTCAGACTCAGATATTGAGGAAAATGCTGAGAGGTCACAGAGAAGAGGGAGCAAGCCACAGTCACCTTCATCTCCTTAGCATCTCAGTGGACTAGAGAGCGAGTTTCTGTTTCTTCCTGCTTATATCCTCTCTCTGCCCAGCCATCTCATTTCCTTCAGACCTCTGTGGTTAGCTAGTGACAACCTCCATCCTCTGATCTTCAGACAGGCTTTATTTGTACAAGCGAGATATCACCACAGGAACGGGGCTAGGAACACTCACATTTCCCAAGGTCATCCCAACAGAGGGTATGCCAGGTGTGAGCTATGTCTAAGAAAGGAAGGAAAACCTCAGATCTGTCTCTAGCATTGTGTTGAGGGACAGAGAGACCCCAGAAGGACGCTCAGGATCTCAGCGGTTCCTAGAGTCTGAACAGCAGCTAGGACAGAGGAATCTGTCCCAGGAAGGCAAGCTATGAGGAAGGCATCCTCAGAGGAAGGAACGATCACAAAGGGCCTCTGAAAAGCAACATTCACCATTTGCCAAGTCCACAGAAAGAATGTTAAACTGTCCAGAAAGAAAACTCTCAGTCCCCACACCACTTCTCATACCTGGATATCCAACCTTGTTTTCTATTTTTCTGTTTGTTCTGAGATGAGGCCTCACTATGCAGCCAAGGCTGGCCTCAAAAGCAGGGTTCTCTTGCCCTCAGCTTCTTAAGTGGTGGATTATAGATGTCTTCAGAGTTAGAATGTGTAGAAAATAAATGGAGAGCTGTTTGCCGCTGACCGTGTACCCCTCAACCCAGCCGTTTTTTTTTTTTTTACTAATTCTCAAGAATCTTAAGCTAGGAGATGAGATAAAAACCAATTTTTAAAATAAAAGTTTGTGGGGGATGTTATTGGGGCCCATTGTTATTAACTCCACTCCATCTTATTTAAGGTCAAAGAGTTCAAACCTATTCTTGCTCCTCAAGGTTAAAAGACAGGGTGTTTGACCTCAGAAATGGCTACAGGATGTCTGGACCCTCAAGACCAAATAAAAGGATGTTTGACTTAGGGCATGGTTACTATACATTTTGAGTATTAAGGAGGTAATTACATTCGTTTGTTCCTTGTATCATGGTAAGGATATCTTTTGCCCTTCCCTTTTGATTGGAAAATATAAGAACTGTGAGTAATAAATTTGAGGAATCTGCAGTATTCGCTGAGAGCCCTCCTGACTCTATCTTCTGTCTCTTTTCTCTTTTCTTTTCTCAGTCCTCACAATTTAGTAAAGTAGGTGTTCAAACAGCATAGTGCTGGCTCTGACAAGGACTCCCTTAGCTACAGCACATTATGATGGAGCTCATGCATCCAGGAGGGATCCCTTAGGAGTTAGGAAGCCATAGAGTGGGAAGGAATCAGCCTTGTCATTTCCCCCTAAGCCCACCTCTGAAAGAGTCTGCCACTCACATCACAACAGGGACAATGGAGTTCTAACACATAAGCCTTTGAAGGACATATTCAACTCACAGCAAAGACAGGGTAGTTTAACTGTTAAACTTACATTGCATGGTTTATGGCTGCGTTACACATGTGACCAGAACATCACAAAGTTTGCTGTCACTTCCACCTGGGGCATACTGCCTTGAACAGATGAAGGAGAAGAAATAGTGGGTAACCAAAATAGCTTTGCTTTTTTTTTTCTTTTACCTTTTTTTATTAATTTGTTTTGTAGTCCAATCCCAATTCCCCCTCCCTCATCTCCTCCCACTCCCTCCACTCCTTCCCCCATCAGCTCCATGGAGAGGCTAAGGCCTCCCCTAGGAAGTCTACTAAGTCTGTTCCATCATCTTGTTGAGGCAGGACAAAGGCACCTCTCCACCCTCACACCCCTGTGTCTAGGCTGGGCAAGGTATCTCTCCATATAGAATGGGCTCCACTAAGTCAGTTTGTGCATTAGAGTTAGATCTTGAACCCACTGCCAGTGGCCTCATATATTGTCCCAGTCACACCATTGTCACCCATATTAAGGTCTTACGCAGGCTCCCCATTTGTCACACCTGAGTCAGTGATCTCTCACTAGCTTGGGTCAATAGCTTTGTTTTAAATTGTATTTTCTGAGTCATGTTTGTTGAGACGACGTATTCTCGATAGTGGGAGATTTGCTAGTGTCCAGGGAGAGAGTAGCCTATGGTTTCTCAATCAGAATCTCAGAGGACTTCACTAGAGAGGTAAGATGGCCTATATAAACAGGCCAGTGCCCACAGCATCCATGTATCATAGTCAGGAGGTCTCCATTGCTCCCCACTCAATTAGAAGAGAATGTGACCTAAAATTGGAAATAAGATTTTGTAGTGATATATTATTTATGATTTATTAAAGCTTGCCTGAGGGTACAGAAAGCAAGCTAGCCACAAGCCACAGAGCCATGCAATGGTGATATACACTTTTAATCCCAGCAACCATACTAGCTAGCCATAGAGCCAGGCAGTAGTGGCACACACCTTTAATCCTGGGACTCAAGAGACAAGCAGATGGATCTCTGTTAGTTCAAGGCCACACTGAGCTACATGAAATTGATCCAGTCCTAAAGAGAAACAGCTCACACACAGGTAATCTCGCTTGGGATCACACATCTTTAATTCTAGCACTGGAGAGGTATAAAAGGAAGAACCAAAGGGTCTCATGGGGAGATTTAATTTCCAGCTACATTGAAGAGAGGCAGTCTAGGATTGCAGTCTAAGGATTGGTGGAGCTAGCCGGGTTACTCTATCAGTCTGAGATAGAGGTAAGATCTAGGGACTGGATGCTTTGCTTATCTAACCATCAGCTTGAAACCCAATATCGATCTCTGGATTTTTATAACTCATGTTACATATTAAAGCCCAACGTGGGGCCCAAACCCACGACCCTGAGTCTGGGTTTTTATTATCTCTACTACTGTTATGCCCAGTCTGAGGGACCCCAAAAGGACCACCACCAAGGAGACGACTCACCAATCAAAGGCAAAGATTTCTTTACTCAAACTGCGGCAGGGATCCCACTTGTTCGGGAGCAAGTGAGATGCCTGTTTACAGCTAAGGGTTTTTTTGTTTTTTGGTTTTTGTTTTTTTAATAGGGAATGACCATAAGGCTAAAAGCCTCAAGATGTCAGCGTTTCCGTGATTACACAAGGTAAAATGGTAACTATATGTGTAAGCAAGATACAATTGAACAGGAAAGTGCAGAGAACATTTGGTTATGAGTTTGTTAATTATCCCCGGACTGGGGTTTTTTACAACCATTAATTGGTGATATCTGGTCTTCTTTGGGACAAAGGAATGTTGACACAGCTGGACTTTAAGCTTCTAGTCACCTCCTCAGTCAGGGGGTCAGATTCTTTTGTCCATTTCTCTTCTTTTGTGCTGTCTTAGGTAGTTCAAGATCAGAAATTCCCTATTTCCCTGTATGGGTTTAGTGGTCTAGGTTTTTTAGACTTTTATTAATTTTTCCTCTTACACTACCAGATTCTCTCTCTGCTATAAGTCCATTCAGGGAAGGTGACTGTTACTACCTTGCCATTAAGAATACCAAATTCTACTAAAAATCCATCAGATACATTTCAGGGCCTGCCCAATGACAACGAATCACACAGAGAGATTGGAAAATGGTTGTGGGTATCTCAGTAAACAGAATGTTTGGAGAAACCTTCTTAATCTCGTCTCTCTGCTCCAAGCCTAGCCTGTGAGATGCTGGAGCTGAGATTCTGCCAACCAAAATTTGGCTTTGCCAGCTGGCTCCGTGGGACTTCTTCTCCGTGGCAAGAATGCAGCAGGCAGAGGAAGGAAGGACTGAGTGCCTTCTGTCTGCTTCCTGTGGGATTTCCACTCCTGCCAGGGTCACCTTAGCCTCCTCTCTTCATCCTGCGGTGAGAGAGGAGAATCAGCCTGGCCAGATTCCTGTTCCAGAAGACCTCATGTCCCATGAACCCACCCCTCCCCATGCCCAGCCCTAAGGGTAGCAGTTGCTTCCTGTAGCTCTTCAACAGCAAGGTTTTCAAGTCCTTGCTGATGCTTACCTGGTTAACAGCTTCCTTCTTGTCAATACATCTTGTGCCCTCTCTGGTCAAATACCTGACGATATTCCCTGCCAGCTGACTGGCTCTTGACGGAGAGGCTTCTTAATGAAAACTGAAGAACTGGAATGCCTCAGGGAACTACTTGGGATTAAAAAGAGAAATTAGTCAGGCCTCTGTGGGAAATGGGAGTGGTTTGCCTGCCTGTCTTGCCTTCTTCCTTTTCATTTCTGTGCTAGAGACTGGACTCAGGGTCTTCACAAAGCGAGCGCTTTAGCACTAAGGTATACCCCAGCCCATAACTTAAGTCCCCAATGAGTTTTGAGTCATTGGAGCCTCTGAGGTAAACAGAAAACAACAAGCTTCACTATGAAAAGTACATATACCTATCGCCCACCTCCATCCCTTGTGCACAATGTTATATCCAGATCTAGGGTTCAGTGCAGTGGTTTTCAGCCTGGGGGTCCAATGATCCTTTCACAGGGGTCACCTCAGACCATTGGAGAATACAGATATCTACATTGCCATTCATGACAGTGGCATAACTACAGCTATGAAGTAGTAATGAAAACAATTTTATGGTTGGGGGTCACCATAACATGAGGAACTGTGTTAAAGGGCCCTAGCATTAGGAAGGTTGAGAACCAGTGGTTTAGTGGCTTCCTGGTGCCAGATCGTAGGTAATTCTGCCATAAAAAGTTGTCTAGGCAGAGTCTGCATTTTGAAGAAAACCTCTTTGGCTCTCAGGCTATTGCCCAAGCCAGGGGAAAATTGAACAAAAGTTCTATCAGCACTAGGTCGCCAAGTTGCTGCCCTAGATTTTCAGAGTCCTTGAGTGTGAGATAAAAATCCTCAGTATGGACCTGCCAACCATTTGGATTTGTAGCTGCTCACACATCTGAAGCCTTCAAAATTGTGACTTTTTCCTCATGGGGTCCAGCCAACAGAAATGGGGCAATCTGAGGCAAAACCCTGTTTTCTTGGCTCTCCTTCCTGAAGGCCTCTGGCTGATCAGGCCAGGTCCAAACCTTTTCACTCTGGAGAGAGAGAGAGAGAGAGAGAGAGAGAGAGAGAGAGAGAGAGAGAGAGAGAGAGAGAGAGAGAGAGAGAGAGAGGGGCGTCGCCACCTCCTGGCCTACGCTATTGCTGCATGCCCAATCCCAATCCCAGAAAGGAAGTAAACTCTAATTTTTAAATCTGGCTTTTAGTAAAGAGGACTACAGTGTTTGAGAAAGACACTGTCACTGGGTCTCAAATTTTACATTTTTAAATCAACACCTCTGTCCTTTATCATCCTTAGCCCTGCTAAGTTTTTCAAGGTCAACGGACCATGGAGGATGGAAATGCTTCTTCTGGAGTATCCACAAGTGTGAGTAGCCACCAGACATCCCTACAAAGGCCATCTTATTCGTTTCTTGAGTAACTATTATTTGGACATTGCTCAAGCTATGGGTTGATGTTTGCTCTGTTAATTCAAGCAAGCTTTACTATTTTGCTCATTTACGCCACAAAATGAATCACCAGCTTGACATATTTTTATTCTTTGCTCTGTGCCAGAAACTTCTGATGTAAAAGGAAACAGCAACAGACAAAGCAGATATTAAGCCCTTCCCTCCAGAAGTATTGCTCCACGGGAGGAAACAGCTCACAACTAAAACATGTAGGTCAGCTGAACCAGGTCACCTGGAGAGAGGTAACTTGTTTGCTTTGGTTTGCTAGAAGGGAGGAATTACAGCAGTTTGTCTGCCAGTGGGTTGGCTCAGGAAAGAGGGAAAGCGATGAGGCAGGAGAGGAGAGAGATGCCCTTGAATGGGGCAGAGGCCCTGGCATCTAATTCACCCATAAGTAGAGAGGACAAATCAGGTATGCTCCTGCCACGTGCTGGGTACAGGACTGGATGTTCGCGATACCACAGTGATAAAAGGCGAGGATGTTCCTACTGTCCTGCATGTGTTGCTCTCGTTGGGGAAACAGACAAAAAAGATGCAAATTAATACTACAACATGACAGCTGTGGCGTGGGATATGCATTATGGCAGTAGTAGTGGCGATGTCACTGAGACATTTCTTTTAAGTTGAGGGTATAAGGAATTGCCTCCATGGCTCCATTACGGAACTGAGAAGGCATAGACCCAGGTCACACTGCCCCACGTACTACAGGTTAGACGGCCTCCTGGTGATGCCTCTGTCCCCCGTGTGTAGTGCCAAAGGAACTACCATGGTGGTCCTATCCACAATGTCACTCAGAGGTCTCCCTTCCCAGAACAAGACAACTGCCTCAAAGTGATTCTCAGGGGTGTCTGATAAACAAGTAGTGATGAAAGATGATCTCTCTCTCTCTCTTTCTCTCTCTCTCTCTCTCTCTCTCTCTCTCTCTCTCTCTCTCTCTCTCTCTCTCTCTCTGTGTGTGTGTGTGTGTGTGTGTGTGTGTGTGTGTGTGTGCTTACCCCATATGCACATGTTGAGGCCAGAAGTCAATGTTGGTGTCTTTCTCTGTTACTCTACACCTTATTTTCTCAGACAATAGTCTCTCTCACTAAACACAGAACTCACTGCTTCTGCTAGACTGTCTGGCCAGCAAGCCCCCAGGACCCACCTGTCGCTATGCCCCAAGCACTGGGAATAGCTGCTGAGCTGGGTTTCTTTTAAGGGTACTGGGGATCTGAACTCAGGTCCCCATGTGTGCACAGAAAGCACTTTACTAACTAAGCCATCTCTCCAGCTCCTCTGGCATTAGACATTGAGATCTCAGGGTCAGCATAAGCACGAGGAAAATGCTGATGCTCTTTCCACACTGAGAACGTGTGTCTCCATTACCAAGTGAGGCTGCTCGTTGTCCATTGTGGGGAAAATGCTTTTCCAAAACTGGGCATGTACAAAATTGTCAAGATGGGCACACACCCGTCTCAGTACTTGGAAGCCTTAGGGAAGAGGACCACAGGTTACAGACCATGCTGGACTACACAGCCAAGACGTTGTCCAAAAAAAAAAAAAAAAAGCCTGTTACTATGTTATGAATAATTTAGTTAGCCTTTGGTGATAAAATGGCTTGATTATGAAGTATGAAGTTTGAAAAATATCTTATTTCTGTTATTATAATTCACCCACCCTACCCCCTCTCTTTTAGAAAAAAAATGAAAACAGAGGCTAAGAGATGGCTCCAAGCACTGTCTGCTCTTCTATAGGAGCTGAGTTTGATTCCCAACATCCTCATGACGGCTCACAATTGTTCCAGGGCATCTGATGCCCTCCTCTGGCCTCCACAAGCACTTAAGGACACACATGGTGCAGACAGACATACATGTAGCCGAAACACTTATATACATAAAACAATAAAATAATATTTAAAAAACAGTGGATGTAGTCTTTGTAATTCCTGATCTCTCAGATACCCCAACCAAGTCTTAGAGAAAATACTACTTCTAGAAGTTCTACAAACCCCTCAACCCCCACCCCATACACACACATATACCCATTCTTAAGGTTTATCATAACTACTGCTTTCTCCTGCACAGAGAATGTCAAAAAGGCTGGGGGTGAGTGTGGGGGACCCTGACTCTTTGTCCAACTCTGAGGATGTCTGTAGATATCACCCAGGGCATTCCGGGATCACAAAGGGTTGATGGTCCCTTTGTGAACTCTTGCTGTGCAGTGTGAAATCCGTGGAATCAGGCCTCTGTTGGATCCCAGAAGGAGTTTTCTGTGGCTCCTCAGTCTTTCTATTTTTTAGGCTATTTAAGTTCAAGGCATGCAGTCTCTCCTGTTATATCCCCACAGCACTACAACGGTGCTTTTGGGAGAGGCCCCATTGTAGCTGGAGGCCCTGTAAAAGTCAGGAGAATGTTATCTCCTGCCTGCAGCTGCAAAGCTAACTGGCTACGCACCCCGTTCCCTTCCTCCGTGCCCTCCTGGGCCTCTGAGTTTCTAGGTAGGGACAGTCAGCATGTGCTATTAAGAAAAGCGTACACTTGAGGAAATATCCGCCAGGACGGCAGTCCAAAGAGAGAGCAAACTCTACCACTTGGGAACCAAAGTGTCTCTCCTCCACAGAGCAGAAACTCGGGGCCGGCCCCCAGTTTTGCCGTCTCTCATAGAACTCGATGTCCTTGGCCTGTATGTGGCCGCCCTTGCGTGGTGCTTGTGGTAATTTGTTCTGGATGTAGGTGCTTCCCATTCCCGTGGCCACCTCCTTCCTCAGAACTGGTGGGGCTTCTATAATCTTTGGGCAATGTATCTCCAGGCTAGTCTCTCCCGTGCCCATGTTTCGGAGAACAAAGCGAGCAGTGGGAGGAACGGAAATGCTCTCACTAATCTGCTTCTGACAGGTGACTTTAAAAAAGCAAGGATACAGAAAAATGATTTAGGAAGAACTCCCAGCCCCGGAGGGAAAGCACAAGAGGACAAGGCGTGTCCTTCCCTGCCTCCTGGTGCAGTTCCCAATCTATCTCAGCTATCGGGGTTGACTGGGACTCGGATTTCTCAAGCGGAAACTTACTAAGGCCCTTTTGGCAACAGGGTGGCACCTTTCTGGGCGCAGCCTGAAGAGGCCAGAAATTGATCTAAGTCTGGACCTGGAGGTAGGGCGGCTCTTCGGCTTCCTTCATCCGTGAAGCTCCACCTTCCTGCTGGCACCGTTCCCACCTGGGGCGCCACACTGGTGAGCATAAGCATCCTGGGAAGAATACACAGGTCAAAAGAGCCAAGACTCCTGGGTTCCAGGAAGTGAGCAACAGGCACAGGCCTGATGGGAGCAGAGTAACTTACAGCTGTGGCAAAGCACCGGGTCTGCAGCCTCGGTGAGGTCGGACTCGTCTCCACACTACGGAGTGTGTTAGACCCCGTCCCTTTTTGTGGGGCATGCACACACGGCTGGGAGAGCGGCACAGCCTGCCGTGAAGGAGGTTCAGCAGTACAGAGTCAGCCCTCTAACTTGTGGCCTAAAAAGAGGCAAGGGTGACAGGTTAGTGGAAGAAAGTGCCCGTGGCAGGAGCTATAAGGAAAGCCCTCACGACAGGCAGACCTTGGATGAACTCCAAACGGAGGAAGGGAGGGAGAGTGCCCAGACCTGAGAAAAGTGGAAGTCCGTGAAGCATCTTCAAACACGGAAATCATCCCCTACATGCTCTCCCCCAGGACCGACCTCCTCCTCTTGCCCTATATTCGTTCTCCGGGAGGTCTCTGAGGAGCCAGCGCATCCCTCAGCTTGGTAGTAATAGGAAAGCTGTCTTTATCACCATGCACAGGAAAGGCAGGACCGGCAGTGACTGGCATTTACCGAACGCTTCCCGGCGCCATCTGCTGTGCCAAGGGCTTCCTAAGTGATAGGTTCATTCAAGCAGTACACTACTTTCTGATGCAGGCTCTATTATTAGGTACTATTACTGACATGGTTTTGTCAGTACTATTATTAATTAATACTGCCTGTCTTAGTAACTTAGGGAGGAAAGGGTTTCTTTCGGCTTACAACTCTCAGGTCACACTCCATCAGTGAGAAGTCTTGGCAGGAACTCAGGTCAAGAACCTGGAGATAGAAACCAGAGCATCGACCATGGAGCACGGCTGCTTACTGGCTTGCTCTTCATAGCGTGCTCACCCTATTTTCTTACATAACTCAGGACCACCAGCCCAGGGATGGTACTGTCGCAGTACGTTAGGCCCACATGAACCAACCATTCATCATGACTATGCCCTATAGACTTGCCTATGGCCAATCTGATGGAGGCATTTTCTCAATTGTGGTTCTACTTCCCAGGTGAGTCTAGCTTGTGTCATGTTAACAACAACAATAACAACAACAAAAAAAGGTTTTATATATCATTATTAAGTACTATCAATGTCCCTGTTTTGGAGAGGAAGAGTTAAAGTCCTATAGACATTGTATTACTTACTCACATAGATAATGATTGGTGGAGACCAGACTTAAACCCAAACCCTGGCTCCAGACCTCCAATGATTAACCAGTCTGTATATTATATGACAATTCTTATGTATTTCTTTTGTCTGTTTGTATATTTGATTTTGAGATGGGGGCTCATCATCCCAGGCTGGCCTCAAACTCCCTATAGCCAAGAGTGACCTTGAACTTATGATTCTCCTGCCTGCACCTCACTGAGTGCTGGGATTACAGGTGTTACCCCCAGGACCAGTATAATATGATACTGTGTTGTGGGATATTTGTACACTGTGTGAAGATGTGTCGTTGTGATTGGTTTACTAAAAAGCTGAACGGCCAATAGCTAGCAGGAGAGGTTAGGTGGAACTTCCGGGCAGAGAGAGGAACCCAGAGGATGAATCTAGGTGTGTAGCATTAGCCAGGGAGGTATGGGGACATACAGAATGGAGGAAAGGTAAATAGCCATGTGGCAGAATGTAGATTGATAGAAACAAGTTAATTTAAGTTATTAGAGCTAGTGGGACAAGCCTAAGCTAAGGCCAAGCTTTCATAATTAATAATAAGTCTCAGCATCATTATTTGAGGGCTGATGGTCCAAAGAAAGTTCAGCTACAACACTGAGAATGGAGCCTAGGGCTTCATGCTTGCCAGGCAAGCACTCTCCAACTGAGCTATATTCCCAGCCCCCAGCCTTAAGAACTCGGTGTCAACCAGGCGGTGGTGGCACACACCTTTAATCTCAGCACTCGGGAGGCAGAGGCAGGCGGATCTCTGTGAGTTCGAGGCCAGGCTGGACTGACAGCCTCCAAAACAATACAGAGAAAACCTGTCTTGTAAAAACAAAAACAAAAAACAAAACAAAAAAAATCCGGTGTCAAATTACACAGTATTTATCTCCTTCCTTCTTTTCTCCCTCTCTTCCATATGTAGCCCAGGCTGATCATGGGCTCTTAATTTTCCTGCCTCAGCCTTCCAAGGACGGGGATTATAAGCAGGCACTGTGCTATCATGCCATGTTTCTAGGAGATGGATTTATTCATCAACTCTCCCATGTTCTTCTTGAACGAGGAAATCCTAGTTCAAGTTTGATCTCTCTGGGACAGTCCCTAGCCTTTCTCCTGACTCCCCACTGCAGTTACAATGCCACTAATTGGCATTTTATCACCCAAGGACTTGGGTCACTTGTCATTCAAATGGAAACATCTGGTCCCTCCAACTAGTCCACAGGCAACCCTGGGTAGTTGCACACCTTGCTTCTTGAGGCAAGTAAACACCGTGAACTGGGGAATGACTCCCACTGCAGATCCCTCGCGTTGATGCTGAGGCAGGTCTGCAACGTGTCCTCTGGCAGGCCTGACTCTGGACTTCAAGGCCATTGTGCAGCTCAGTCATCTTGGCTGCCTGCCCCTCTGCATCCACCCTCCTTCCTCCCCCTGTGGTGACGTGTTTTTCTTCTTTTTTGCCTGGTAAGAGAGACCTGGCAGCTTCCCACACCTCTCCTAAGGCAACTGTGTGGCTCTTTGCATCCAGAGAGGGGGCCACTGCAGCCTGTTCCACAGCAGTCCCGGCTGTCTTCCAGAGAGGTGGCTTCCCTGAGGTGCTGCTCTATAGAAGGTCACTGTGCTAGGCAAAGGGACAACCAAGACGAGTGAGCACAAGGCAGTGTGTACTGTCCCGACACCCTTAGAGACCTCCCCATTAATTGTCACCTCTGAGAAGGAAGCAATCCACTCTGTAATCATTCTCTTGAGGGGTTGGGGGGGGAGGGTGATTGATGGGTCTAGTTGTTTGAGTATTAGCCAGTGTAAGTTAAGTAAGTCAAATCAATAAACTTTATAGGGCTCCCCAGATTGCTCCAGAGGTGAGACCCAGTTGCTTTCACCTCAATAGATTTTGACCTCTGCCTAAGCAAAAATCAGGAGTCACCTGGGGAAACGCTTTGATTTCTCTTTGAGAGACTCTCTTAGTGCCCTTGAGCCTGTCATGACTTAAATCAATAACTTTAACGGCTTCCAAGAAATTTGTTACTGTTGGAGTGTCTCCATGCAGCTGCCTGCTATCCCGGGCACACGATGACTTTAGACACCTGACTGAATGAAGCGAAGGGGTGGTGACCAAAACCTCCTACCTGAGCCATCTCTGGGTGGCCCACACAGTACTGCTAGCTCAGGCCTTTGTCCCTGCCAGAGGTCTTTCTCCTGTGTGTGTGTGTGTGTGTGTGTGTGTGTGTGTGTGTGTGTGTGTGTGTGTCTGTCTGTCTGTCTGTCCGTCTGTCCATCTGTCCTGGATTTTCTATAAGAAAATAGGAGTCTGAGTGAAGCAGAATGAATAGAATGGTAGTGTGGTCCAGTCTCAGAAACTGGTAACCCTTGCAGCACAGCTGGCCAAACGACTGAAGAACAGATCTCAGGGTGCACAGAAACTTTTTCCATTATTTGACAAGGATGGTGATGGGACTATAATAACTGGGAACTGTGATGAAGTCTCTTGGGCAGAAGCAGATCTACAAGACATGATTAGTGACGTAAATGGAGATGGTAAGGGGACAATTGACTTCCCTGAATTTCTGACACTGATGGCAAGAAAAATGAAAGACACAGACAGCGAGGAAGAAATTAGGGAAGCATCTGCATGTTTGACAAGGATGGCCATGACCGTGTTAATGCAGCAGAACTTCTCTATGTCTTGGCAAACCTTGGAGAGAAGCTAACAGGTGAAAAAGTTGTTGAAATGATTGAAGAAGCAGATATGGAAGCATCTTGGTCACCCTGTATCAAAACAAGGTGACCAAGTCAGTAAACAACACTCCTCCATGCCCTCTTCATCAGCTCCTGCCTATAGATTCCTGCCCTGTTTGAGTTCCAGCCCTGACTTCCTTCAGTGATAAACAGTAATGTGGAAGCATGAGCCAAATAAATCCTTTCTTCTCCAAGCTGAGGTGGTCATAGTGTTTCATCACATCAATAGAAACGCTAAAATGCTCTGGGCAGTGGTGGTGCACGCCTTTAATCCCAGCACTGGGGGGGGGGCAGAGGCAGGCGGATCTCTTGAGTTCAAGGCCAGCCTAGTCTACAGAGCAAGTGCCAGGATAGGCGCCAAAGCTGCACAGAGAAACCCTGCCTTGAAAAACCAAAAAAGAAAGAAAGAAAGAAAGAAAGAAAGAAAGAAAGAAAGAAAGAAAGAAAGAAAGAGAAAAAGAAACCTTCAAACACTCCATCTCACCATTTCTGGCAAGGACCAGGAACCAGTAGAAGAGTAGAAGAGCAAAGTCAGCTCCGTCCATCACCACCACCACCACCACCATCACCCCACCCTGCCTAATGTCAGGCCTTCGTACTGAGGGAAACCCCAATCATCATGCAGCCCTGGATGCTTTCATTCTCAAGTAGGTGTAAGACTCAACCACTCCCTGACCACAGGCTCACACTTGTAAAACTGCAAATCCCAGAGGACTCTCAAACTAGGCCACTAGGTAGTCATGGTTGGCTTTTCAAAGCCATCTCTACAGCAGATAAAGTGTTTAAATGGTGGAGACCCTCTGTCAACATGATGCCCACACCAGATATTCAGGAGCTCCTGCTACTGGGGTCCCCATTTGAGAGACTGAGGTTGACTGAGGGTAGGGCACACCAGAGACACTGCACACAGAAAATCCTTAACATAGCTTCCTCTTCATGACAATGGCCAACAGTCATCTCACAATGAACCACATAACAACAATGGCTAGGAAGGAGTACAGACAACACCATTTTCTTTTATTGAGCTTTGTATATATGTCTATATATGGATGTGTGTGTCTGTGTGTGTATATATATGTATATGTATATGTGCCAGTAAAAATGAATTAGGGTTAAAACACAAAAGAGAAGTGATAGATTCGTATGTTTATCTTTTAATTACATTGGTACTTTTCAAAACTGGACCACAGACACCTATTGGAATCAGCATACCTTTGCCAAAGCAGTAATTAATTATTACAATTTCTATTTTTGAGGCCAAAGCAGTAATTATTATAATTTCTATTTTTGAGGCTTAAAGTAATTG